CAGAATAATCATTGAGTAAGTGCTCTCAACCATGTTTGTTTTCATGTGTGTCTCACCAGTGACATTATGAGACAAAGACACTTAGATAATGGGCACCATGTTTTCTCTCAGGAATGAATGTCATATCTCATGTCATAACTCACCAGGTGGGTTTCCAAAAAGACTACTTTCTACAGACATAAGTTTTACTTGTGATGTTTGCAATTCACTTGGAGGTCTCATGAGGGACAGTGTGATGCAGATCTTACCTATCAGTGAGGGATCAGTGACAAGACTTGAGCACTAAGGCAATGTGCTTTTAGTGGCCAGTTTTTGCTAAGCAGAAAAACTTGTTTTCCAAGATTTATTTATTTTAAGGTTTTTTTTTGTTTATTGGTTGCTTTTGTTTGGTTTATTTTTGTTGTTGTTTTCATTATTTTTTTAGGTACAGAGAATTATAAATGAGCTAAAGGTCGAATGTACGTCGGTTCTCTGTGGTTAAGTCTGAATGCAATGGAAAGATCACTATGTTCCAGCTAAACAGATTAAAAAAATTGGTATATTTTGTGGCAGGAATCCCCTGAGTACCAAAAGAAATGTGAAGACCAAATAAGTATGCATAAAATTATTGAGGACAGAATGGGAAATTTTGGAAATTCCCAAAAGCTAATCAATGAGTCTAAATACGCAACTTTCTCACCTGCTGGTGTCTTGAACCTTCTTGTTATCATAAGTTGGTCTGCTTTCTCTGGATACTTCAAAGAAGTGCATTTTTATGGTTTTCCATACAAAACCAGTTTTTGTTTCAAAGGGACTTCTTAGAATTTTTCATACTTAAAAAAAAATTCTGTTTAACATTGGTGTTTTGGAAAACAAAACAAAAGGAAAACAAACAAAAAAACCCCCCACAAACCCAAAAAAAACACCTAGGTCTTCCTCATGACTTTCAGTGCTAGGAACTTGACTCTGAAATACCTTGCCTCTGGGGTCTCAACATTTCACATCCCACAGCCCATTTATGCTGATGCTAGCATTTGTAGGGCTGCACAGCGAAATGAGGGATCTGAGATTGATCTGGCTAAAAAGTGGCTAAGCCTGGGAGAGGCTTATTGGTCATCTAATTGTCACTATATATCCCTACCCTGACTCACTCATGTCTGCATGAACAGTAGTGCTGGCACACAGGACAGGATAGAAGAACTGGGGGAAAAGCAAAACTGTTGATTTTGCTGGCAGTGCCTCTCGTGCTGCATTGAAGTTATGAAACTACGATGTAAGAAATACAATGTGAGATGTCAAGCATGTAGAAATCTAAAACAAAACATCTGAACTCAGGCAGAAAGGTCTTTTAGATTCAGTTGTTACGTAAGTGGATTAAACCTACCTTATTTAATTTCTTTATGAGTTTGATGCCTGATGCCTAATGCCTGTCATATATTGACATTTTAATGAGTGCCTGTCTACCCAAAACATTATTGCAAGCATGCAAAGAGTGCTAGGCTGTGCAGCGAAAATGAGATGGATTGGTGGAGAGCTTGTGCCAGGACAGAAAGAAAGATCTTCCAGGCTCTGGAGGCAGTTGGTAAAGTGCTAGAACGACTCTGATTCAAATATTCATCTGTGAAATGACTTTTCCTAGAACATCTTTGTGCTTAAATGCCCTGGCTGGCTGGCTGATAGTGTTTGCTATGCATCATGCCTTTCACTATCCTCATTCTAAGAGAAACGCTACCTTATGTGTTAAAGGCTAAGCTGCAGTGTTCAGACGAAGCAAAATATCTCCTTGTTTGAAAGATGCTGCCGGATCTGCAAAAAGGCAGAAGAAACTGTCAAAAAAATCCACGTGCAAGAGCACAGATACAAAACACTTGCTAAAATGCTTTAAAAAGCAGGAAAGACGTGATTCATGAGACAGTCAAGAATTTTGCTTATGTAAATGCAAGGCAGAGACTTGAATATGCTTTTACATTTCTAAAAGGTTTATATTTAGAAAAAAAAAAAATAATTTCTTTTTGACATAATTCAACTACTTCAGTTCTACATGACATAAATAATTATACTTTTTGTTTGGAAAGGATTTGACTGATAGAAGAGCTTTCACTGTTTGCTTTGTGGAAATTAACGCCCCCCCCCCCCAAAGTCACACTGATCAACTTTCTCACACAAACTCACAGATCTGGTATCATGGTAATTTCAGGTACATTGAAAAGTGCAAGTTCTGAAAAACAAACAAAAAAATGAAAACAAAACAACTCTCTAAATAATAATAAACTCTGCTTCCTGAGTTTTAAAATGAAACCTACTTGTGTAGAATCTGTTTTGTAGGACTGGCTTTTAGTAGGATTCTGCCTCTGCTTATTCTTTAATTGCCTATAAATCTCATTTCTGTCACTTCTTTAGGGATGAAAACATATTTGCCAGTGAGATTCAATATAAACCACGTTTATGGTTACTGAATATTTAATCTCCATGCAATTGACATCCAATTGTTGTTGACATTTCCTTGCATTAATTTCTGAAGATCCCTTTTGTTAAAGAGCTTGCAGCACAAGGCAGAAATGTTCAGACCATGCACACCAGGTACCATCACGTCAGGTTGTCACTGGAGAGAAGATGATCCCTGAGTAACAGTGCAGTGAGAGAGTTTACTTTGGTTGTTTATACACAGAGCCTGGACAGGCTCCTCACTTCAGACTGTGCAAAAAACACAAATGCCCGTAATGTGCCTGTTTCTGTGTGACCTATACATGTAAAAAAACCCAACAAAAACCCCAAATACCAAACAAACAAAACCCCAACCAAACAGATTAATCATGTTATATACAATTTTGTATACATTTAATTTTCTTACTAAATACATTCTGCTGGTTGTTTCTGCTGTGTCATGTTGCAGATGAAGACTGGAACTACCAGAGAAAGAAATCTTCTGCCTGTTAGATGCTCCCCTCAGCCCTGAGAAGCGCTCTTTTGATTATCTCCGGACATCCTGGAGATGAACTAAATGTTTTGGGTGTCCTTTGAGCTGTGGGCACACAGTTCTACCAGAGCTGGAAGAGAAGTTCATTACATAGAAAACACATCATTTTCTCCTCTGCTGTCATCACATATTCAAGTCCCAGTCGTTTTTGACACTTGGCATTATCACAAGTAGTTCTTTCATGTTCTTATTTGTGGGGTTCCTTCTTAGACCTGTATTACACTCTGACACTCCCCCTGTTGCCTGGGAGCAAAGACAGCCTTTGCTCTTCCATGTGGAAGCCAGTGCAAAAGACAGTGTGATGGAGATCCATGATGGTCAGGAATACAGGAATGCTGGTGCAGGATCACAGTTGTCAGGTTGCAGTTTGGAATCCCAGTTCAAGGGGTTTATTGGCAGGCTCATGGAATTAACTCTGGGTGGCACATGCCTTAGAAACATCCTTTCTGTTTTGGAATAGATAAGTTGTGTTCAATAGAAAGCATGGGTCTTGCCTCCTGAGTTATTGTCATGGGTAGGAGCTCTGAGGTCTCAAACACACAGAGGCTGCAGGAGGGCAGAGGAAATTCTTCTGTTCCCTCCTACAGGACAAGATAATATGTATGGCCAGATCTCTCTATGCCAAAAAACAAAGCCCCCATAGTTGTGTGAGGCATTGGACAGACACAAAAACCCCTTGAGTTCCAAAACGGGGTATTTATGGTGGATCTTTCCTATGAAGTCTGAGAGCGTTGGGGCTGTTCAGCCTGGAGAAGAAAAGGCTCCAGGTAAGACCTTACAGCAGCTATCAATACCTGACAGGGGCCTACAGGAGAGCTGAGGAGGGTCTTTTTCACAAGGGCTCACAAAAAGACAGGGCAAGGGGGAACAGCCTTAAATTGAAAGTGGGTAGAATTAGATTAGATATTAGGAATTACATTCTTTATTGTGATGGTGGTGAGACAGTGGAACAGGCTGCCCAGGGAAGCTGTGGATGCTTTATCCCTGGAAGTGTTCAAGGCCAGGTTGGATGGGGCTTTGAGCAACCTGGTCTAGCGGGAGGTGCCCCTGCCCAGGCAGGGGGGTTGGAACTCCATAATCTTTAAGGTCCCTTGCAACCCAAACCATTCTATGATTCTACAGTTTATGTTGTGATTTATTTCGTTATCTCAGGGATGTGGACAGGTTTTACTCAAGTTAGGTATTATTACACAGTCACCACAGTACGGTTAGGTAGTAATAAATGACAAAATTCACGCCTGCGACCTTCCACCGGCGCTTAACAGAGCGGCTGGTTGTAATGCGGGCCCCTACCAGCCCCG